GAAGTACAGAAGTGTAAAGAAGTACTAAGTTAAGTTCATAAAATGTAGATACTAGTAGAGATATGTATAGAAATGAATTAATAGAGATATGGGGATGGATGTACAAGTACACGATCTATACAATGTCCAGGGCTATATCTATATCTAAGACACCGTCGGAGGAGCCCCCGTCACGACATGGGGGTTCCACGATAGCGGGGATCTCCAAGAATCTTTTCAAAGAATTTCCTGGACTCTTGGAATTTCTCTTTTCTTTTCATTCTCAAACTTGCTAATCTCTGAATTGTTCGCTTCCTTCAATCCTCTTACCCTCTTGATATACCCCTATAGAACCATAGAACTATAGAACTCTACAAACGTGAGCAACCCCGCTGACATCATTTGGCGCATCTAACATTTGCAGAAACAAAATGGCAACACAATCAGCTCTCCTCATTGGAGAAATCACGCACGCGCGCAAGGAGTGGGAGAGCATCTCATCTCTGTTGACCTTGAAGGTAAGCGATTCCTATTGCGCCGCGATCGAATCCCGCTAAAGCAGACAAAATCAGGAATTCCCCAGCGGAACCAGAGAAGAGTTCATTGAGAACTGCAAGGCTGGCAAGTACGACGATGTAGTCGCTCTCTACCGTTCCAACAACTCCACCAAGGTAAACATCGGCGCGACTGCTTCATTTTGAGTTACCCTACTGACAGCGCATAGTACACCGGTCCGTTCGATGCAGAGATGCTCGAAGTCCTGCCTAAATCTCTCAAGTACATCTGCCACAATGGCGCGGGATACGACAACATCGATGTTGCCGCCTGCACGAAGAAGAACATCGCTGTGTCCAGCACCCCAGTTGCTGTCAACAATGCGACAGCCGACGTGGGCATTTTCCTGATGATCGGCGCTTTGCGTCAGGCTCACATCCCTATTACTGCTCTCCGGGAAGGTAAGTGGTTCTAAACCATTGCAGAATGATCTCCCCGAGTAACCAATAACTAACCATAACCCCAATGACAGGAAAGTGGCAAGGCCCAATCACCGCAGGAGGAAAGGAGTACAGAACCACCCTGGGCCACGACCCCAAGAACAAGGTTCTCGGAATTCTCGGCATGGGAGGCATCGGACGGGTACGTAACACAGACAGTAGTCCACCACTTGACTCCAGCTAACCATGAGCAGGAAATGGCAATCCGCGCCAAGGCCTTCGGAATGAAGATTCAGTACCACAACCGATCCCGTCTACCAGCCGATCTGGAAGTCGGCGCGACATACGTCTCATTCGACGAGTTGCTCGCCAGTTCGGACGTGCTCAGCTTGAACTTGGCCTTGAACGCATCTACACGCCACATCATTGGTGCGACCGAGTTCACTAAGATGAAGGATGGTATCGTGATTGTCAACACGGCGCGTGGTGCGCTGATTGATGAGAAGGCGTTGGTTGCGGCGCTTGACTCTGGCAAGGTATGTAATGCTTTAAAACCTGCCTTCCATGACGGATATGTGGACAATCCCGGCTGACTGGTGAATGTCTATAGGTGCGCTCTGCTGGTCTGGATGTGTACGAGTGCGAGCCCCAAATCGAGCCCGGCCTTGTTAGCAACCCTAATGTTATGTTGCTCCCCCATATTGGCACTGGCACCTATGAGACTCAGAAGGAGATGGAGATTCTGGTGCTGGATAACCTGCGGTCGGCTGTTGAGAAGGGTGAGCTTATTACACAGGTGCCCGAGCAGAAGAAATAGACAAAATATACACAATTTAGATATGGATTTATGAAGAATAAAATTCGTTCCGTTCAATCATGAAATATCCACTATACAAAGTAGTTTTCAAGCGGTGCCAAGGTGTTCACCTTGGTTGATTTAAATTAATTGTATTAAGGGATTGACACCTGAGATGTGGGGCAGAAACCCAATGACTAAGGTCTGACATAGCTCAAAGACAGAACCCACCAAAAACGGCTAGCGTTAGGGCTCGCTTAGGGCCAGAGCGCCAAGAGCGAAAAAAACCGCACCAAATCTAGTGGCTCAAGCGAGAGCCGGACGACGACGAAAAGCGACAACAACTCATCACCGAGGACCATCACACCCCCCTCGCCAACTCCTTCAAGATGGTGAGTGCTGCATGTCCCTGTCATCGATAATGACTATTCCGAATCCCATTCTCTACAAAATGCCACCCGTGTGATGCACATTCAATGTCCGATCGCCGGGTCGACTTTCGCAGCCAACATCACCAACATCCAACGACGATCCCATTGCTAACGAGCGATGCTTTACACAGGTCCGTTACGCCGCCCAGGAGATCTCGGAGGCCAAGAGCGCCCGCGCGCGCGGCTCTTACCTCCGTGTCAGCTTCAAGAACACCCGTGAGACCGCCCAGGCCGTCAACGGAATGAAGCTGTCCAAGGCCCTCACTTTCCTCGAGAACGTTACCAACAAGACCATGGCCGTTCCCATGCGCCGCTACGCTGGCTCCACCGGTCGCACTGCCCAGGGTGAGTCGCCCTTTTTTTTATATTTTGAAGAAAATTCCGGATGAATCGGAGGAATGGATTGTGTGGAAAGACGAACAGCATCGCCAAATATACGACAGCCACTGGGATATGCAATGAAAATAACGAGGAAAACTTGAATGGAACAAATGGATGGATTTCGTGGCTTATTGGCGATGCTGTGGATCTACAATTCAGGAAAGAAAATTTGTGAATGGAGTCGAACATCGACTGACAATTTTTTTCGTTCACAGGCAAGCAGTTCGGTGTCTCCAAGGCCCGCTGGCCCGTCAAGTCCGCTGAGCACATCATTGATCTGCTCAAGAACGCTGAGGCCAACGCCGATGGCAAGGGTCTCGACACCAGCGCCTTGATCATCAAGCGCATCCAGGTCAACCAGGCCCCCAAGGGTCGCCGCCGCACTTACCGTGCTCACGGTCGTGTACGTTTTTTATAATCCCAAGGTTCACGGTTGGATTCTGTATCCGAAATGCTGACTTTGCTTTCCAGATCAACCCCTACATGACCAACCCCTGCCACATCGAGCTCATCCTCACCGAGGCTGCCGAGGAGGTCAAGAAGGCCACCGAGGACAAGAAGGTCCGTCTCTCTTCCCGCCAGCGTGGTACCCAGATCCGCCGTGCTCTCATTGAGGCATAAACGGATTGCCATAAGAAGGTGTGAGGGGACGTGATGTGAAAAGATTTTTGCGGTGGACGGGAAGGATCGGAGTTCTGTGCATCAGCTGTGTATGTTGGAACGGAATCGATACCGGATCATACAAGATTTTAAGGTCATGGCGCCAACACTCGGAGGAGAACCCAATAAAAAGTTTAAACGATATGGCCCAGGGTGATGGAAATAGGATTCTGTACTTCCCGATCCAATCATGATACAAACGTGGTTCTTTCTCCGTGACTCTATCGAGTGTTTTCTCTTTTGATAGAGAGTATTTCTCCGTTTCTGTCTTGTCTAGCTGCACACCTCTGTCGAGGTCCCGATCTTTCGGTCATATAATATGATCTCATTTTTTCTGTTTTATATGCATCCGATTGATTGTAGCGATGACTGGATGTAGCAATAATTAATGGTCGATGCCTTGAAATACGAGGTAACCTCCATATGCCCTCTATATGAGGCATTATTGGCATAGATGGAATCATAGGGAAACCTACCTATACCACTTCTGGTCCCCGACATCCTTATCTAGGAATATGCCAAGGGTAACATCCATCTATATATAAGCAGGGATCTACATGCGGGGTTATAAGTAGTCCAGAAGGGAATATACTTCTAAGATTCACTCATCATCTCAACCTATACCCTCAATATATATATATATATATATTCACCGGAACAAACCAAAATGACCGACCTCTCAGACTACCGCCTCCTCTGCTTTGATGTCTACGGTACCCTAATAGACTGGGAAAGCGGCATCATCACTGCACTAGAACCAATCCTCTCAAAAAGCACCACCCAATTTACCCGTGAACACCTATTAACAACCTACCATGACCTCGAAAGTACCCAACAAACCGCAACCCCGGACCTCCCATACTCAGACCTCCTATCGGCAATCCACCCCACTCTCGCCGCGCGCCTAGGCCTCAACCCACCAACGGAGGAAGAAAGCCGTGAATTTGGCAACTCCGTCGGAACATGGCCAGCCTTTCCAGACACAGTCGACGCCCTGCGTCGACTATCAAAGCACTACAAGCTAGTGGTGCTGTCAAACGTGGACCGGGCTTCATTCGCCAAGTCCAATTCCGGTAGCTTGCAGGGCGTATCTTTTGATATGATTCTTACCGCGCAGGATATTGGCAGTTATAAGCCCGATCCACGGAACTTTGAGTACATGTTGAGTGCTGTGCAGCGTGAATTTGGGGTGGGGTCTGGACAGGTGCTGCAGACAGCGCAGAGCCAGTTTCATGATCATCAACCTGCTAGGAAAGTTGGTATTAAGTCTGTTTGGATCGAAAGACCTGGGGCTTTCACGGGGAATACAGAGGATCCCATTTTTGATTGGCGGTTTGAGACCTTGGGGGAAATGGCTGATGCTGTTGAAGCACAGTAGAGGGGTAGAGGGGGTGTGGCGTTCGATATGGGAGTACGTAGTGTCAAGTACTGGGTACTTTCTAAATATAGTGTCGATGTGTATTGAAATTATGTACTGTCTACCATTTCACACGTGGCTGAGTCAGGAATTAAAAAACATCCTCCGAGACTAATTGGACTAATTGCCTGGAGCCTGGATGGTCTTCATCTTGGCAATGCAGAAGACTTGGATGCGTGCGTGGAAATGTGGCTTTGACCGATATTGAAATTATATATTATTATATATATACATATACTTCTCTCCTATTTTCTTGATTTCTTAGGGCATCTATTGCTAGTTCCCTGCAGACTAGTTCGACGCCGGCAGTTGGCCCCCGGCTAGTATCATTCTTTGACAATCTGAACCTTTTTTTTCCTTTTCAGAATTTACCCTGAAAAACCAGAGACTGTGCGATCACCATGAAGCGCTTCCTGGGATCACTGAGCAGGCGCTCAAGTGAGTGTCTCACCGTCTCCACGTCTCCCCGCAAATTCGCTGACTTGTACCTGAACATAGGCTCCAGTGACAGTGTCGAACCTCGTGAAGACTCACCAGAAGCCATTGTCCTGAAAGAACTGGTTTGTGCTGATTCTGGATCGATCGAATAAGACATACTGACACCTCCAGACTGCCTTCTGCGAAGCGCGTCCAAACGAGAATGAGAATGGCTCTTCGCGCGACGCGGTATGTGCCTCGGAGATGACACCAACAACCCCTTTCCAAGACTGACAATCGCCTTTGCACTCCAGCAAGGAACCGAATTCGTCCACCTCCCCAAAATTGTCGAAGCCGCCGAGTCAAGCCCCAATGCCGCAAAGGAAGCAGCTTTGCGCATTCGCAAGTATCTCTCCGATCCAGCCGGCAACACAAACCACACCCAGTACAATGCGATTATGCTCATGCGCATCCTGGTTGATAATCCAGGCCACACCTTCACCCGCAACTTCGATGCCAAATTCGTGACGACCGTCAAAGAGCTACTCCGCACAGGACGTGACTGGCACGTGCAGAGCTCTCTCCGCCAGTATCTGGATACCCTCGAGCAACAGCGCGCATGGGACGACGATCTCAAACTGCTGCTGCAGATGTGGGCGAAGGAAAAGACGAAAGCTTCGCACGGTTTGGTGAGCACATCGTAGTCTCTCTGCGTGCGCTGTTCAAAACTCTAACCTAGTCAGATCGACCGTTTCCCAATGAATTCCATCATACCGCCACAAGTCCCCGCCAGGCCTCCCGGTCACCAGCAGCAGCCATATACACAGCCCCGCGCGTCGAGAAATACCCTCCCCAGCCCGGTGGAACTGGCAGCCCGCATCGAGGAAGCGCGCAATTCGGCAAAGCTGCTAACGCAGTTCGTCCAGTCCACCCCGCCGGTAGAGCTGGAAGGCAACGATCTCATCAAGGAGTTCGTGGACCGCTGCGGGACCGCTTCGCGTTTGATTCAAGGATATATCCAAACGACCAACCCGGCTCCGGACGAGGATACCCTATTGACGCTTATTGAGACGAACGACGAGATCTCCGTCGCGCTGTCACAACAACAGCGTGCCATGTTGAAGGCGCGCAAGATCAGAGGATCTTCATCGCCGACATCGTCTAATCTGAATAGTCCCTCGCCGACCTCGCAGGTTGTTGCGCCGGCCGCTTCGAATTTCTCTCCTCCCCCCTCAGCGCCACCTCGCACTGAAACATGGAGTCCTGAAGCTGCTGCACCTGTCGCGGCACCCGTTGCGACACAACTGCCTTCTCCGACTATGACTGGTGGTCGTCCACTTGCTTCCCATCCTGTCTCGGGATCCGCGACCACCGGCCGATATGAATATAACTCTGAGGATTTCCAGGTGCGGAATCCTTTTGCTGACGACTATGCTACGAATGACTCGAATGGGAACAATCGAGTGCGCTTCCAGCCCACTGAGCAGGAACGTTAGCGTCATGCAGGGATCAATTGGTGATCGCCAATAGCACCTCTCTTTTTTATCGTCCAGCATTTGGACTCTTTTCTTTGTGGTTATATTCGACTTTTGGTTGTGGTTTTGTCTACTTTTGCAAGCGCACAGCTTTTACCTTTTTCTTTTGGTTCTCTCTTTTTTTTGGCCTCTATGATACCTCGCACATTGTCACCACACATATATCCGTTAGCTTTTTACTGCGAACGCCTTAGCAGCATGACTTTATCTATGGGAGAGCGAGTGTGCACCGTCGTTTCCATATACCTTCCAGGTAAATACATACTTGCGAGTCTTATCCCTCTATGATCCAGTGTTATACCTTGTACCATATGAAGGGCAGTGTCCCTCTTTCTCATAACATGTGTGTTCACACAGCTCGGAGGTACATACAAGGCTGATATGACAAGCAAAAGATTGAATGCATTGGTAGGAAGTCATAACACCAGCTACAAATAGGGGCCAGTCCAAGGCTGGCTGTTGCATTATCAGACCTGCCACCTGCAACCCTATTTCATATTCCTCACCAAACAAAACCTATACCACCTATCCAAGATTCACTCCTCAATCTTAACAGCATTGCTCTCATTAGCCTCAACCCTCTCCCTCTCTGCAATTTCCTCAGGAAAAGGCTTCCTCGCCCATACGCGTCGTCTGCATAAAAGTCAGCCAAACCCACACCACAAACCTCCCAAAGAAGAGAAAAGAAAAATACATACGCGCGCTCATAAATATGATACCTGGGATTCTTAAGCTCCGCCCTGAGCTTAGCAACATAAACAATAACCTCCTCCTGCGACCAAGGCTCCGGCGCCCCGAATTTACAAAGCAACCACATAGCCCACCCCTCCATACCAGACATCCAATGCTGGTAATTAACAGTACCGGTCTCTTTATATTTCTGATCACGGGCCCAGGGCCCAATGGGCCATTTGTATTCTTTCTCACAGACATCCACAAACCCAGCCTTGCGGAAGGCGTCTTGCATCATATCGATTGTTTCTAGGGGTCGTCCTGCACGTTTGCCGCAGGCTGATAGCGCCGGGCCCCAGCTGCGCAGGATGTTGTCTGCTGGTAGGCTGTCGTCGTCGCATTCGATGTAGGGGCTTGCTTCTAGTTGTTCGATCCAGCCGCCTGGGCGGATGTTGCTGTTGTGGGGTTTTGTTAGACGGGGAAATGGAGGGCGGAGGGGTAGAGAGGGGGATGGCGGTGGCTTACTCGTAGCATTGCTGGTAGACGCGTGTCCATTCTGCGTCGTCGAAGGCTCCGATCATGATGCGCATGTGGATTAGGTCTTGGGGTTCGTTCCAGGTCCATTCTTCGGCGATGTTGTCGACTTCCAGGATGCAATTTGGGGGCATCCATGTTACTGGGGGTGGGAAGAGGTCGACTCCGCGGACGGTGGCTGTATTTCTTTTTGTTAATATGTCGATACTATAGGTTAATTGAATTGGGATTTTGGACTTACCTGTTGGGAACATGTCGGCTACATCACTAGAAGAGGGTCAGTGTTGGTTCTTTATGAAAATATGAAAGGTGTTTTTCTTTTCTTTTCTTTCCACATACATAGCCCAGTTACCCAGACCTGTTCCAAGGTCGAGGATATGTTTGGGATCTTTAACAGGGGCGCGGAAAAGGGGATTGTCGGAGTCTGAGTCCATGACGAGGGCTACCAAGTGGCTGCAATGTTGTTAGTTATCGTCCGAAAGAGATTATGATCATATATAAGAGAATTGCGCATACCCAGCTTCGTATGTTTCGAACTGCTTCTCATCCGATGGAATCCTAATAGGAGATAAGTAGATAATACTTTGATTCGGCAACTCATGACGTACAGGTATTCTTTCTGGCTCAATGTTTGGTATCGTCGGCCATTCTCCTCTAGCCCCCGGTACAGCGAGGAGCCGATCGAAGTGGTTTCCCTGAGACTGTGAGATGGGGGGGGTTGTTTTTCATATAGACAAAGATAATATTTACGATTGCCAGTCATCGCCATAGACGGTCGTGACATGCATTGTGGGATCCTGACATTGGTTAGGAAAAATAGATAAACAAGAATTGGGCCAACATACCACGGTGATATCATCCTCGGGTTCAGTATGTATCTTTTTATCCATTGTAGAAACCGATCGGAGATTCCCAGTAAAAAACAAAGAGGAAGATCAAACTTGAGTGAAGAATCGAAACCAGGATGTTCGGCGAACCTGTTGGGGATTGGATTGGATGAAAGGGCATCGGACCGCGACCCCGCTCTCATCTCAAAGGCTACAACAGGAACTACATCGTAATCTTTGTCCGTTATAGGCTTAAAGACGTGGGCTTTGATATTGTGGAACTGTGGGGTGGAAACTTGTTCCCAACAAGTTGAGCTCTGTGATTGGCTGTGGTTTGAGTAGCTGCATGTGAATTCGCAAAAGTACGAGTTTCGACTAATAGGAAGTGTCTACAGAAAGTATAATATGCACGGAAATTCTGCACGAATTGCACTTCGTCTGGCTAAATTCCACTCCATTCCCTTGAACAGGGATATTCTCGTGACCATCAAACCTTATTGATTGGGACTTGTTTTTTTTCACAAGTCTGATTAATAATTACATATTACATATGCAATGGATCCATGGATCGCTTTATAAGGTTCCCAGCTTGAGCTTGTCTCTTCCATTTTATAAACTTGTCGATCTCGAGATGACATGACCTTCTGGGGCATGGATTTATGATTCGTTGGATTTCCAACACGAGAAATACGAAGGCGCTTGCACACTTAGGCTAGCTATGATTTAAACGAATATACAATCACTAGGTACATCCCCCAAGTCCACGAGTACTCCGTGTACGAGGACAATAGGCTATCAAATAGGCTATCAAATAGGCTATGCCGGAACCCGGCCACGGGGGATGACGTCTTGATACCTCGAACTATATAACTAACCTAACCCAACAAGACAATGCTAACCCATCCCTCATTGCAAATAACAATATATCTATATCTACAAATTTTAAATATGTCAACTCCCCTCCCCTCCAAAATGCACAGCATCATCCAACAAACCGCCGCCTCCAAAACCCTCACCTTAACAACCACCCCCCTCCCAACTCCAAACCACGCACAAGAAGAACATCTAATCCAAATAAAAGCCTGCAGTCCCTGCGCCGGGGAACTCCTCTGGCCAAAGAACTTCCCCCCACCAACCGAGCGCACTCTAATCCCATGCCCGGACATGGCGGGAATCGTCATCGCAGCACCACAGGATTCGCCCTTCCAACCCGGCGATGAAGTATACTCGCGCACAAACTATATCCGACCAGGAAATGCGCGCGAGTATTCCATCGCTGTGACGGATGAGTTGGCGCACAAGCCGAAGGGTCTAAGTTGGGTCCAGGCTGCTGCGATTCCTGTCTCTGCGCAGACGGCTTGGCAGGTTCTTTTTGTTCATGCTCTTGGGACGCAAGGAAATGAGGGAGTGGATCTGGAGGTTGCTAAGGATGCTTGGGCTGGAAAGAGAGTCCTTATTACTGCTGCCTCGGGTGGTGTGGGGGTTTGGCTTGTGCAGTTGGCGACTTTGCTTGGTGCAGAGGTCGTTGCGACGTGTGGCTCTCGGAATGTGGAGCTTGTGAAGTCGCTTGGTGCGAAGGAGGTGCTTGATTATCGGGTTGTGGATTTGAAGGAGTGGGCTATGCAGTCGCCTTCTAATAAGGTGGATGTTGTTGTTGATTGTGTTGGGGGAAGTCTCTTGGGGATGCATGGTGGGCTGTTAAGGATGGTGGTGTGGTGCTGAGTATCTATCAGCCACCTTCGCAGGTCCGTCCGGATGGCTTTGCGGGTGAAGGTGTGAAGGATTTGTTCTTTGTCATGCAGCCTGTGAGGAGACAGTTAGAGGAGATTTCGAAGTTGGTTGAGAAGGGGTTGTGTCGGGGATTGGTGGATAGTGTCTGGCCTCTTGAGCAGTATGAAGAGGTATTCCAGAGATTGGACGGAGGGCATGCGAAGGGGAAGATCGTTTTTGATCTGTCGCTGAATCACTAGAAGTTGAGTGATGATGTTTCCGCACCAATATACGAGACGTGAGATGTCATTTCTGGAGACTTGATCCTGAGTAGATACATCTAATGTTGTTTAACTGAAACAGATCAAAGCAACCAAGATTGTTTAATGTGAATGATTGTAATCTTAATCCGTGCTAGAAATATTATCCATTCCTTTATTATGACCTTGTGTACGGAGTACAGGGTATGCTGTCTAATATTGGGAAAAGGTTGCGCGGCAAAGGTGAAGCAACTAAAGAGTCAGATATTTTAGCATGTGATATTGTACTTTTTTTTTTTTTTTTGCACCAATCCCGATCAATTGACAGACATAGAATGTATACCGATCCTAGCCAAGGAACCTAAAGCTGAAAATTCCGAGTCCACATGGTTAGCCAATTCAGACTAATATAAGTATGCGCTGGAGGCTCTGTCTCATGTTCATGAGGCCGAGCTAGCACTTGAATGAAAATATTTCATACACTCTTATACCCCGATCTATATCACAATATATCATTATAATCATTATAACTGTTAGTATGCTTGCATTGATATTTGATAACCTTGGAATGTAGATATAATGATGCACAGCCTGATGAATTTGGGGTTTACTGACCAACGACATCTATTTGACTATTTTGACTATTAGCGCGGATCAACGGACTTTCACGTTCGTATCTATTAGACTTTACGTGAAACCCTTGATAGCCCAGGAAATATTTAGCTAGTTTCATAAGATTTAGTTTGGTTTTTAAAGCATTGAGTGGACTACCAAAGAGTCAGGTTCACCCTGGAATGAAATTAGATAAATGTCCGAGCAGGGGTGCCAAGTCAAGTTTATTCTTCCATCTTTCTACCATCTCCACGTTCTTAATCAAAGTAAAGCGCCCATCAGGTCCGTGTCTCACCTGCCAGCCCCTCCTTGGCAGGTCCCATTAACGTGAAACTCGGCGTATCCCTGTTCGGCGCGTGGAGGCTTGGCAACCCTAGCCTCAGGAACGCCGGCCTCGTCCCGGAAGAGACGATCATCCAGTCTAGTTCAATATGCACCGGAGGTCACTTTGTCCCGATATGATGCGATTTATATTTACCGCCAGTCTCACTGGTCCCCTCCTGGTGGGGAGGGGAGCGCTGTCCCTTGGGTATATCCGATGTGTTTCAGTGTGATACGTGCATTTGGCCCTACCCGGTGTTCGAGATGTCTCTGATGATTCTCGAGCTACTGTTTGCAGTTGATTAATGTCGCAGACAGGTCCGCTAGAGCTCCTTTTTGAATATGTCTACCATAAAGTATATAAGCAGCGGCTTACCAGCGCGACACAAGGCCAGTTGAGCATGCTGGTCAGTCTTTTTTGAATTCTCATTCACTTCCACATTCATTTTTCTCCGGTTTGATACCGTGCAGACATTCGTTCACCAACTATACATTCATTCATCGGTCCGGTTTACCGATCATTTCCATTCACTTCTCCCGACATACCAACTCGTCAAACATGAAGAACTTCACCCCCCGCTCTGGCCTTCGCCAGCATCATTTCCTTGGTCAACGCCCATGGATTCGTCACTAAGCCCGAAGCTCGCCAGCCCGGTACCGCAATGGGCGCCGCGTGTGGCCAGCAAGTCCTGTCCAACCAAGGCTCCGACAAGTACGGCAACATCCAAGGCGAGCTCCAAGTTGCCGCCAGCCAGAGTGATTACAACGCCGCCGAGTGCGACATCTGGCTTTGCAAGGGCTACAAGTTCGCCGATAACAAGGACAACGTCCAGTCTTACACGGCAGGACAGAAGGTCCCCTTCACCGTCGACATCCGCGCCCCCCACACCGGTGTCGCCAACGTCTCCGTCGTCGCCACTTCTTCCAACAAGGTCATTGGCGCCCCTCTGATCTCCTGGGATGTCTATGCATCCACCGCCACCGGCGTCAAGGCCGATGAGACCAGCTTCAGTGTCACCATCCCCGATGGTCTTGGAAGCCAGTGTGCTACCGCCGGTGACTGTGTGTTGCAGTGGTACTGGTACGCCGAATCCATCGATCAGACCTACGAGTCGTGTATCGATTTCACTGTCGGTGGATCCGGCTCTGGTTCCGCTGCCTCGTCGGCCTCGTCCGCCGCGTCGACCTCCAGCGCGACGGAGATCGCTGTGACTAGCACCCCCTCTGCCGCTGTTCAAACCCCTACCACCTCCGCTGCTGAGTCTACCACTGCCCCCACCACCGCTGCCGCTGAGCCTACTTCCTCCACCACGGTTGCTGCTCAGCCTACCACTTTCGCTACCACTGCCCGTCCATCGGCTACTTCTGCCGCGGCGCAAGTCCCTACCTCCAGCGCTGAGCCCTCCGCTAGCGCATCGGCCCTGCCTTTCTCCACTGGCAGTGCTTCAGATGTCCTGTCCTGGCTCGAGGCCTTGCTCACCAACCTGGTGGGTAACTAAATGCGGAAGGCGCAAAGAACGGCCCACTAAAAAGTGGGCAGCATAATGTCGGAAGCTCGTCATGTTTAGCATTGGATATCCACCTGTACCTTCTACGTCAGTTAGTAGTTAGATATATCGGTAATTAAATGTCATTTGCAATGCTTCACTCAGTCTCCTGGATTCCATTGTAACACTATTCACGGCGATATCGGAGAGATCACCGAACATCCGACTACGGGCGACTATAGGTATCTCCGTCACATAACTCTCTCATTGGTTAAGATTGTCAGGCAGTAATTTCCAAGGTTAGATCCACTATCATCCGGTAAGTACCAAGAGTACAAAAGTTATCTAACAAATACGTAGTATAAAAATCATCCAAAAAACGCCATATAGTTTATACTATTAAACTATAAACTATGCTTATTATAAAGTACCCTACATACCTTTCGTTTACTGTCCTGGATTCCATTGTAACGCTGTTCATAGCGGTATCGGAGAAATCACCGAACATCCGACACCGCCACTTCCTGAACCTCATGAAATGTAAGATCCATGGATATCAATATAAAAACAAACATTCCTCATACAGCCAAACATCTTCTAGTATTTTAAATCATCGAAAAAAATGTACTGTCGCCCGAACCCCACAGCAACCAGGCTATTCGCCCACTCCCCAAGAATCCCAACCCAAATCTTAAGACCAGTCTACAGACACTTCTCAACAACAATGTCCCAATCCAAAGACTGGAGCGCAGCCCAATACCTCAAATTCGAAAATGAACGCACCCAGCCCGCCCGCGATCTCCTATCGCACGTGCCCCTGACAGCCCCAAAGAGAATAATCGACCTAGGCTGCGGCCCGGCAAACTCAACAACAGTCCTAGCAACAGCATACCCATCAGCAACAATAACTGGTCTAGACTCATCCCCAGACATGATCAACCGTGCAAAGCAAGTTCTCCCAGACCGGGACTTCCACGTCGCAGATCTATCAACCTACACACCTGACCCAAGCCAGCCCGTCGACCTCTTCTTCTCAAACGCAGTGTTCCAGTGGCTGAAAGCCGACGAGCGCATCGCGGTGATCAAACGCCTGCTGGAACCCCAGGAAAAGGGTACTGTTTTCGCACTCCAGGTCCCGCACAATCTGGACGAGCCTTCCCATGCCCTCATGGTGGAAACTGCCGCCAACGGCCCGTGGGCGGAGAAACTTTCTGGTGCGAAGAGAGATGGATTCCAGTCACCGCAGGAACTGTATGATCTGGTGAAACCTTTTTGTAGTCAGGTTCATCTATTTGAGACGAGTTATTATCATTCGCTTGAGAGTCATGAGGCGGTTATTGAGTGGGTTAAGGGGACTGGGTTGAGGCCGTTTGTGGATCCGTTGGAGGATTCGGAGAAGGACGCTTTTTTGAAGGATTATTTGAGGCGGTTGCAGGGTGCTTATCCAGTTTCTGTTGATGGGAGGGTGTTGCTGAAGTATCCGCGGTTGTTTATGGTTGCTGTGAAATGATTTGGAGGTTGACTTGTGTATGTATAGCATTTTGTTAGTGATTATTTTTTTGTTATTGCGCAGTGTATGGTAAAGATCTTTGCTTTAATGTTTATTCTACGTAACTTGATAATAATCTAAAGCTGAGAAAAAAACATGGGATGCATGGATCTATACGAGAGTGAACGAGTTCACATCCACATTGCTACCCAGTAGGCTGTTTAGATAGAATATATCCTAGAATAATCGCTCAGAAAGCCTAGACTGTTCCCGAAGCAGCAATCTTAATGATACCATCAGTCTTTCCAGACCGATCCAAGCTCTTGCTCTCTATCTTCTGGAGAATATCCTGACCAGAAACAACCTCTCCAAAGACAACGTGCTTGCCATCCAAGTGAGGAGTTTTCACAAACTAATCCAGTCAGCACAACACGTCTCCAATCTATTCCCGGTATAGCTTCGACTCACAGTAATAAAGAACTGAGAACCGTTGGTATTCGGTCCAGCATTTGCCATAGAGAGCAATCCGCCCTTAGTATGCTTGGTCTGGAAGTTCTCATCCGCAAACTTCTCGCCGTAGATAGACTTGCCGCCAGTGCCCTAAAAGAGAGAAGAGAAATTAGCCGGAGCTCGGATTTCGCTGTGATCCCACTACTGACATTGCCGCGTGTAAAGTCACCACCCTGGGCCATGAACCCGGCAATCACACGGTGGAAAGCAGAGCCTGCATAGCCGAAGCCCTTTTCGCCTGTTGCGAGAGCGCGGAAGTTGGCTGCAGTCTTGGGGACGACGTCGTCATAAAGTTTGAACTCGATGCGACCCCAGTTTTCCACTACTTAGTGTTAGTCTCGGTGAATTGCGATGGAAGAGTGGACTTACCCTGGCCGCTAGCCGTAGTGTATTCAATATCAAAGTATGGGTTCGACATGATGAAATAGATGATTTGGAGGTAAGATGGGAAGTACAAAGGAGACAAATGAACTGGAAGGGGGCGGGGTATTAAATGAGGGGCTCGGATCTGGGGTCATGCAGGAATGAGGTCATCTTAGGGTTATATTGTACAAGTTGGACGTATTAGAACACAGTTGGATATGAAGTTGAACAAAGATTGGACAAGGGTTGTTGTTAGATTCATTGGCCCCCTGTGGAGTTCAAGATCGGGAGATTCAACCCTGATTATACATCGATAACTTCAACGTCACTTTGAACGGTTCAAACATTTATTTCATGCTCAGAAGTTATTAACATTTTTCTTACTGGGAGCAAGATTTTAAATAGTTTTTGAAAATTGGTTCATTGGATTCAGTCTAAAAAAGAAAAGAATCGTGGAGCGTCACAGGCATCTCTCCAGAGATGCTGCTCTCACATGCACAAGACTAATGGGCACATTGGAGTGCAACCCAAGAATATTGAGTAAATGAATTTTAGAAAATAAATTGATGTAAAGCCAGTGAAAACCAGGAGAGCAGGGAACAGGTGGCTGTCTTCACTACCGCATCCCTCCGTGCGTTGCCACCGACATATTGTCCCATCTAGTCCTCATCATTGGCGTCTTCGGTGTCTTCGGTGTCCTTCGCGGAGTCGTCAGTGTTGATGGGGACGCTTTTCTCCAGCTTGATGTTCAGCCGGGACAACTGTTTCTGCACAGTGCCAACGGACTTGCCAGCATCATTAGCGACGGCAAGCCAGTCGATCTGTAAGATATCCCAGTCAGTAAATGGCATAATTTCATATGTTGTGCCCATTATATTGTGTGCCATAATATGTTTAATTTGACATGTGAAGCCAACTGAGAGACACTTACCTTCATTCCGGTGGACATCTTCACGCATTTACACAGGAAGACCAGGTCCCGGTCAATGTTAGGGGATGAGACGCTGGCAAGGGCAAGGGAAGCCTTCGCCTTGACAGGTGTGCGCTTTGTGATTCCTGCCTTGACAGGCTTGGTGGCCTTGTTTGGGGTAGTTGATTCTTTCGCCATTTTGATAAGATGAAATGAGATGTTGGTTGCGTAGAAAGTCTGAAGGCAGAAATATGAGTGATGTTTGACGAAGATGAGAGAAGAAGGAGGAAGAGGAAGAAGGTGAGTGGGGGATTGTGTGCCATTTATAGCGGGTGGTGCTGCGTTGCGTTGGGTCAAGTTGCCCCGATTATTTCACTCCATTACATACTCGCAGGGGTTACACTTTAAGCTGTCTCGCTCAAAGAAATCATATGGGGGACATTATGAGCTCTTCTGGCTCTGGCTCTGGCTCTATACTGGCTCTGGCCCTACACTGACTCTAGCTCTGCACCATCAGCTCTTCTAGGAATACAGTATTATCCTAGGACTGTACTAGGACACACATTATGATAAGTAAACGATTTGAATGAAACAGAAGAAATACTAGACAACGACCGTATCATAAAAATGAAGTGTTCGCAGCCAATCACTTTGCAGCGTTAAATTGTAGAAAGCTCTCTATAATGGCCAGTTCCATTAAAATTGAGCACAATGATAGCTCCCGTATGTTCAGACTTACGCGACGCAGTAATGCCAAAGCCATGTCACGTTCGACAAGCCGTGGGCATGGGCCGTATCCTGTGGCAAGCGCATGGGGTTGGATCCAGGAGGCTTATGTTAGCTAATCCTGGCTCTTAGCTAGGGCATTTCTCCAAAAAATGATATGTTTGTGCGTAACATATTCATAGCTACGGCTCAGACTTCAGCCCGCGCTTCGCCATCAATTCCTTTTCGGTAGGCTTTCTTGCCCACACACGACGACTACGCTTGTTATCACATGGAACAGCCAGAGATGAGACCATAGGGAAGGAGCTTACCCATAATTCCAGCCATGTGTGTCTGGATTTTTCAACTCCAAACGCACTTTGGCTAGATAAACCTGGACCTCATCCGTTGTCCACGGCTCCGGTTCCCCAAAATGGGTAAGCAGCCACATCGCCCAGCCCTCTAGAGCAGCGTTCCAATGAGCGTAATGAAGTTGCCCGGCCTCTTTCAGGATTTTGTCCTTGGCCCATGGACCGAGAGGTATTTTGTAAAGCTTTTCATGCGAATCCACAAATCCGGCCTTCTCCATAGCGCCGCGCATCGTTTCCTGGGTTGTGAGCGACCGTCCGGCCCGCGCGGAGCACCTAATGAACATGTCACCCCAGCCGGCTAACAGGCTATCTTTCTTCAGGGTACCGTCATCACTGTGGCATCGTATATCAAACTCCACTTGCTCGATCCAGCCACCTGGAGCTAGGGCACTGTGAGGACAAGCGATTAGGGTTTGGCATCTAAAAAGGCCGAGCGATCATATTTTCACTCACTCGTAGGCCCGCTTGTACACCTGATTCCAACCCTCTGGATCAAAGGCCCCATACATCATACGCATATGAATGAAGTCAAACGGCTCTCTCCATGTCCAATCTTTGAGTACATCGTCTACTTCGAAGACGCAATTTGGAGGCATCCAGGTCACGGGGGAGGAAACAGATCCACTCCGCGAATCGTGGCTGTCACGCGTCAGTCTCAGAACAGCACAAAACCGTGCCCGCAATCCAATTACCTGTCGGGTAAAGATCCGCAACGTCACTGTGAGATCGTTAGAGCATTCCTTGAGATAAGGTTTATTGACTTGCATTGCCCAGCTTCCTTTTCCCGTTCCAATGTCCAGAATATGCTATTTTAATTGATTAGTCCATACACAGACAGATAAGCATGGGTCATAATAAATATACCTGGGGCGAATCGCCTATAGGAGCGAGGAAGAGAGGATTTGGTTGGTTGTAATCTAGAACGAGGAACAATATGTGACTTGGCATGTTAATACTACATCTTCCCTTCTAGTGAAGGAGATAGGTATATGTAAGCCTCACCTAATTTCAAATGCCTCGAATTGCTTCTCATCTGAGGGACCCCTACATATGATTTAGTTGATGCATCTCTGATACAAATACGTCATGGCTTACCAATAGTCATCTTCCTTTGTCGCTTGATATCTACCTTCCAGGTCAGTCAATGAGATAGGCCTTGTCTGAATTGCGCCAACCTTCGGCCATTTTCAAACCGTCCCTTCGCAATAGTCGATGCGATCGAGGTTGTCTCCCTGAAAAGCGGAGATGTCAAATATGCACTACCAATCCTTCTAGAATATACTCACGATCGAAAGTCATCTGGTTCCAGATTGCCCTTCATATAGTAGAAGTCAGGGTCCTTGAGGAATGGTTAGCATAACCCCGTCAGGTTATGCGAGCAACACTTACTACAGCAATGTCATCATACTTTGCGGCCATCTCCGCGGCCCCCTTTTCGTGCACGCTAGAGCTAGAGATTAGAGATTCAACGCCGACGTGATCGTGAATTCAGGTATTTGAGCAACACAAGCCTGCGTCACTTTTTATTTGCCGATCTCCAGGTCGATTTACACACACATACAGAGCTGTGCGGGGAAGGTATTACGGAGTACGGATTGGCACTTGTCATCCGTCGTAATCTAGCACGGATTCAGAACGGATTACATAACAACTGGCCGTAACCTTAAACTGTCCAATAACCCTTTTTCCGAGGGAAGAGAGCACCTGATAGGTACATATAGCATGCCAACTCATCGAAATATGGCCACGTCTTGTGGCCATTCTCCTGCTAGTTGCTTGGAATAATTGTGGCGCCCCTATTTGCCACGATACTTGATATTTGCTTGCCTTCGTGGGGCCCTGATTAGTGTCTCGGATGAATCAACTTATATCAAATGTGTCTTCTTACGTTTATGCTTAAGTTGATAAAAGCAACAGGTTCCACTTATGAGTTCCTTCACCTAAAGGCTGAGAAATTCCAGGCAAAAGAACAACCGGGGAACCTTTAGATCAAATCAGCGAGGATGAAGCGTAGGACACGATAATTATTCAGCAGCAGTCTATAAACGTTATCTAATCTGATATAGAAGCAAGCCTAATTTTCAACGCACTCCAAAGCGAGAAATGCCTGCCTAGTAGAAATGTGGTATATTTGCAATGAGTACCCAGTTGAGGCGAGAAGAGAGTGGAGAAAAGGGTCACGCAAGTTGACCTTTGTAGTTCTTTTTGCTTAAGTCCACCAAGGTACACCTCTTCTCATGGAAATCTACTATTGGTTTCTTCGTTATCGTAATCTAATGCCAGTATCTGTAAGTTCCTGAAATAAGTCTCCACCCTTCATCCAATGCTTGCACAATTTCCTCTGGTAAAGGACCCTTTTCGAGGTCAAGCAAGTTCTGCTCCAGCTGAGAAGGACTAGAGGCTCCGATGAGAACTGCATCCTGGAATTCTTTCTTCAATGCGCTGTGGTTTACTATCCAACGTAAGGCGCATTCCGCCTCACTGAGACCATGTTTCATTGCAAGAGGACGAAGTAGGTCTAGGGCGTCGAAATTGCGGTCTGTCAAATAACGGCTATGATAGACAAGATTGCTTTCTGTCCTAGGGTCGAATCTTGATCCAGTTTCGTAATCTTCAAGTGGTTGGTGTCGCCGGTACCGCGATGTCAAGAGGCCTGCGGCCAATGGCTGAAACGCATAAAGTCCGATTCCGTAGTGGCGGAGGCAAGGCAGAAGTTCGGCCTCAATAGACCGCTGGTAGGCGTTATATATCCCTTGATAGGTTGTCGGCTTGATGAACCCGAATTTTTCACAGATCTCACAAATTTGAGCCACTTCCCATGATTGAAAGTTGGAGATACCAAAACGCTGAAAGTGTCCCTCCCGATATAGCTTGTCGACTTCAGCGAGCGTCTCTTCAATCCGCGTCGATCTATCCGGGCCATGGAGGTAGAACAAATCTACACCATCTTCCTCCGCTCGAAGGGCTTTTAAACTTTCCATCAGACCAAGACGCACATCCTTCGGTTCGTGAGTCCACAATTCGGGTGTGAGCCACTTCATATCCCGTCGTGCAGTCGGGTACAGCTTGGTATCCACTACCAGCCCACGTTTGTGCCAGTTGGCCTCAGCAAGATACTGCTCCGTTGTGCCTGCACCGTAGACGCGGGCGGTATCAATTTTGTTGTGTCCATGCTTCTGGAACACGTCGAGCATGCTGTTGGCGCCTTCAATATCACCAATGCGAACATGAGCCGTATCTGAGAAATTGTTTGTTAGATTCTCATTTTCTGCTTTCGTTGTTTGATTGATTACTTGGCTTGCCAATTGTCATTGACCCGAGAACAATTGGTAGGGCGGTTGTGGGATTCATCGTTTAGAGTGATAGCTGAGGACTGCAGTACGGACAAGATGAAAATAAGAACGAAATAAAAACTGGTTAATCAAATTATTAGACCTGTGAGAGGGTAATTATACGATAGATATTGCAGATCAATATGTGTGGTAAGCTACCCATCGTGGCGTCTTTAACCCCGACCTCTTAACTCCGAACTTACCTAGGTAGGCGAAAAGGGTCATACCTAATTGGCGGGTTAATTCAGTGGCTCTTCTGAGTTGAGATCGCATCCTGTTCTCTGTTCTGTCTGTTATGACTGCTGACATCCTAGCGCTAATCTTTGCAATGACCGAGATGGAATTTCCTAAATCAATACACAATGGGTAGCATCAACCTCGCACAATGTTAAAGATGTGGATGACCGGGCCGGAGTTAAAGACCTGGCAGAAACGACAGCACCGCTAAGATTAATTTAATCAGAGGGCTCGCCATATCTTCAATTTGCAAGTCAATGTTGACCATAAACCAAGGAGCGACAACGGATGCAAGCAAACAAGGACATTCTTTATCCGAAGCAATCGCCCCTACCTCCTCTATTTACTCTGCTTCCTCTTCTACTTGCTCTGTCTCCACTACTCTCCCCGCACAACCATCGCAGGTATTCTATATCCAGGTATGCATAGCAAATTAATACTTTCAAATGTATTCGACTACTACGGTGATCAGCATCGTTGTACTCTCCGAAATTGACAATTAACTCCGCCAGGATGACACAGTATTTCCTGCATTTGTGTCGATCTATTACTCTACAGAGCTTGATTTGCCTACTTTGATATACAGATCTGCAGGCAACATCGCTCGGCATGCTAGCCAAGCCCTATTCGGTGGAGAGCGCCCTTGCTTGACACGTTATCTCCGCCTCTTCCTTGAATATGTCTGTCATCATTGATATTGGCAGCTTTAATATTGAGAGAGACGCAATTTTGTCAAGCTAATGCACTGTTCATTGGCACGAAGGAACAGGAATGACTGAATATAAATACCGCCGTCTCAAGGTTTTGCATTTTTCTCAACTCAATAAACCCTGAAAGCTCTTTCTTCGACCTCAGTCTGCATTTTCCATTCCACAAGTATCACCATGTCCCTCAGCACAATCATGCGAGGCGTTGTGTATAGCGGCACACCCTACAATGTCTCCGTCATGGACGTACCCAGGCCCACGATTATCAACAATACCGATGTGGTCGTACGCATTACAACTTCAGCCATCTGTGGCTCTGACCTTCATATGTACCACGGGGTCCAGGGAGGCAATCCACCATGGGTGATGGGACACGAAGCCCTCGGATGGATCTCGGAGGTCGGCGATGCCGTCTCTTCGTTAGCTGTCGGTGACTATGTTGTGATACCTGACAACGTGGCCACCGGACATTTAAACATGCATCCACCGGAGATGGACTCATTTGGTACAGGTGCGGACCTGGGAGGGCTGCAAGGTTAGTCACTATTAATAACGATGAGTACCAATCGCTAACTCAGATAGCTGAATATGCACGTGTGCCCTTTGCTGATGACTCATTGATTCCTGTGCCTTTGACTGCCAACACAACAAACTCTTCAATTGAAAGAGACTATATGACTGTGTCTGATATCTTTGCCACCGGTTGGTCTGTTCTCACGTACGCTGGTTTCGAGCCAGGTGACTCGGTCGCGGTTTTCGGGGCAGGTCCAGTGGGTCTTTTAGCGGCATACTCTGCTATGCTCCGCGGTGCCTCCCGTGTGTATTCTGTTGACCATGTTCCCATGCGCTTGGAACGCGCAGCATCGATCGGCGCAATTCCAGTCAACTTCGTCGAGACCGACGCAGTCCAGCACATTTTGGCTCTTGAACCCAACGGAGTAACAAGGGCTGTGGATTGCGTCGGAATGGAGGCTATCAACAGAGATGGCAACATTCAAGAAAACTTTGTTTTAGAAAGCATGATCGGGGTAGCTTCATCACAGGGAGGGATTGGCCAAATCGGTGTTTTCATGACTCAGCCCAGTTCTCCTGGTGCACCGCTTGGAGACACACTCTCTCCAAACATATCCTTTCCTATCACAGACTTTTTTGGGAAGCATCTGAGATATGAAGCAGGAGTCGTGGATCCTAAACTTGTGGCTCCCGAGCTAGTGCAGCTTATTGCTTCCGGCCGCGCAAACCCTAGTTTTATCACGAGCCAAGTGATTGGAATTGAAGAAGCGCCGAGGTACTATCAGCGTTTTGACAACCATGAGGAAATCAAGGTATACATAGAGTTTCCCTAGATGGAGGTTGAGAAATAGGTTTATTTAGCCAGAGTCTCATTCCACCTTTCAAACTCATTTTTCAAGCTTGAGTGCTAGCCACAGTTCAATGAAGGCATCCATGACTAGCGCAACACCCGTTCCTCGTGGCTATCTACACAGCTCCGAGGTTGTATAGCTAGATCGAAGATATGCGAATAAGCTACCGGTTGTGAGCAAGATAGCAAAGCTCCCTCAGTCGAGCAAATACGCTGTAGCTCCAAATACTCCGGATGATTCTAATTACATGACTATGTTTGGCATGTGCTTGATCCCATCGCCAGCATGCCATGTCCTCACCGAAGTACAATCTTAACGTGCTGAAATAAAACAAATTAGCGATGGCTTGTTCGACACAATATTCGCTGCTACAAGCAATATCATTAAGCCCTCTCGGTGGTTGCCACTGTCCACCGGCTATTGATGCCTGAGAGAGTTATTAAAAATGTTAGTCGCCTTGGTATGGTCGCGCTCATAGCTTTTTCTCTACTAGAAATGCTCATGGTGACATTCACAGCACAGAGTTCCCCAGACAGGCAAAGCCCAGGATGGACAGAAAGTCTCAATAGTCCAGACAGAGCTTATGGCATCTTCTGTGTGTTGAGATTCCTGCATGAATAGATGGTGTATACCAGATATATCAGGCATGAATCAGCCAGCGTGAATCCTTCCTCAAAAAGAGTATAGTTCCACCCGAGTCTATATAATCAAAATATCCAAGTTGTCACGTGAGCTAGTAGCATAATATTCGGCGCCATTGGCAACCTTATTCAGGTACCATTGAATATCCAATGAGAATATTACGAATACCTGCAACGCAGTAATGTATGTAATTTGTATGTTGGGATGTTGGGATGTTGTACATGAAAAATGATGTGCCAAGGAGCTACCAAGATAAAGTGGAGCAAGATCATCTCGATAAGATAAGCATAGCCACGATTATTTCAAAGAATTTATTGCTCCCCTTGCATTAAGGGTTTCTTTCATCTCATTCACCCAATCCAGCCCATTCATCTCATTCATCATGGAGGAACATTTGCGTCACAGTCTTTCCAACCACCCTCATGCCTTCCAGAGCTTGCATCACACTCACAGCAACTCACCGTCACACCGGACCGACAGAATGGCTCCACTTTCCATCAACGAGGGGACCACAACCGCCCTAGAGCACGAGCTCACCGCCATGCAACAACACCGCAGTGGCAGTTCAAGCGATGAAGAAGGTCAACCTCCGCCGCGTTATACCCCTGAAAGCGACCCATTCCAACTTGCCTCAAAGCTGAAGACCGAGGATGAGATCCGGCAGATGAAAGCCAATACCTCGCGGAAACGGGATTCCACCACTGCAAACAAAAGCCGGAAAGTGGGTTCCATAGTGAAAGACACAGCCCGTCTTGGAAAGCAGGCATTTGTCACCAAGAAGCTGCAAGGATTCTACGAGTCTCAAAATGAAAACATTGAGCGCATGCTGAAACCCGTCGAAGAGCACCGACGTGCTGCCCGCGAATTGAGCGTCGACAACCGTCTCAAGTACCGGATCGCTGTTTACGGTAGTTTTGCCGCGAATATCATTCTCTCGGTCATCCAGGTATACGGTGCCGTATCATCCGGGTCGCTCTCTCTGTTCACCACAATGGCCGACGCTGTCTTCGACCCCATGTCCAACCTGACCCTCCTGCTGTGTAACAAGGCTGTCAACCGTGTTGATCCACGCAAGTTCCCGGCTGGAAAGGCCCGCATTGAAACAGCTGGAAATATCTGCTTCTGCTTCCTGATGACCGCTGTCTCTTTCATTATTATCGCCTTCTCTATTCGCGAGCTGGTATCTGGCTCTGAGGAAGAAACCCAATCTTTCCACCTCCCCTCCGTCATTGCCGTCGCCGTCGCCTTTGCCACCAAGTTTGCACTTTTCCTGTACTGCTGGGCCCTGCGCAACCAGGTTTCTCAGATCCGCATTCTGTGGGAGGACCACCGCAATGATCTGTTCATCAACGGGTTCGGTATTCTGACCTCCGTCGGTGGCAGTAAGCTGCGTTGGTGGATTGATCCTATGGGTGCTATTATCCTGTCTGTGCTGGTCAGTGTGCTGTGGCTGCACTCCGCCTATGGCGAGTTCCAGTTGCTCGTCGGCGTTACTGCAGACACTAAGATGCAGCAGCTCATCACTTACATTGGTATGTTCATTCCCTTGAGACTCTTTTGAACTCCTGACAAAACCATTCACTAACATTTCTATCAGCCATGACCCACTCTCCTGTCATCACTGCCATTGATACCGTCCGTGCGTACACCTCTGGCCCCCGCCTGCTCGTCGAGGTGGATGTCGTCATGGACGCAGAGGCATCTCTGCGTGCCACCCACGATGTCGCCGAAGAGCTCCAGATTAAGCTCGAGTCGCTTCCCGATGTTGAGCGTGCCTATGTGCATGTTGACTACGAGACCACCCATAAGCCTGAGCATTCCCTGAAAAAGGAGCTCTAGATGACATAGCAAAATTTTGATTAACTTTATCACTTTGGATAGCTTTAACTCTTTAAGTCCACCCACATCTCCAATTTTCTTCAGGTGTTATTTTATTTAGGAGAGCGTTATCTAACCGATCTTTGTTTTAATACATTTAATACAATGTTCTTTCATACAATGGATATATACTTCCAGAAAACCACATAATAACTTGAAAACTTAGTGCCTTTCCTGATATCTTCTTTCGTACCGTTCTTGAGGTCTTCACAACAGTCGGCATTGACCAATCTCGAGTGGACGCTCGAGACAGGGGCAGCTTGAAGAACCGTTTCAAGGAACTAGGTATTCACTGGCAGGGTGTCGACAATCAACAGTTTCTAGTAGTGCCCAAGCGACTAGGATCAACTGGTTGTAAGAGTCTTTGAGTGAGAATCTGCTGGAAGCTATCCCGAAGCTCAGCGAGACATGCGACAGCCAAGTTATCATCTCACTGTCATCAAACTTTCGTATCTTCTATCAACTCCTTTTAGGCCATGTCTCGTGGTAGGTGCCTTCCCTTTTAGGTGCCTTCCATTTTAGGTGACGGACAACTCGTCACTCCAGTTTCCCTGTTTGCCTTCACTAGGAAAATATAAATACCCCCTCCCCCCATTTCTCTCTCTCTCTTTTTCTTTCTTCCTTCTCCACCCCTTTCCCTCCTCATTCCTCTTCCCCTCCCCCCGTCTCCAGGGTTCGCATTGCACATCGTGGCTCTGTTGTCCGAAAGGGTAACCTTAGGACACTGATGATCTTTGACGCGGTCCAGTTAAGGCTGAAACTGGGTTGGGGCTTCGGCTCCAACTCCGGCACGAAGCATGCAGCAGGAGGTAACAGGGAGGGGCCACTCCTGTTGTCTCTGCGGATACGGACTGTACTTTTCTGGGTTCTCCATCGACATTGGGAGCTCAGCACCATCACCCCCGACTCTTGCCCACCCTCCCCTTTCCTTTCCCTTTCCCTAACCCAGCTGCACGGGTCCTGTGTGCAGCACCTGGACAAGACTTGCACCTTTACGTGGTGTTCAGGATGAGTAACCCTTATGGTGAAACCAAGCAAGTCCTTAGCTAGAACTTCAATGCAAAAGATTCACTGTACACGTTGATCTCTTAAGGCAACACTGTAATGTAATCATTAAATCATTAGACATTATGTAGTGGACAACCTGCAAGTAGAGACTAGCGCAAGGTACAGTCCCCACGATTTATGTCGATCATGTTGATCACCCCGCGATGTCAATGAGGCTTCTTCAGAGCTTGGAGCTTGAGTCTTACACTGACATACTTGGAATGTGGTCTTGATGAGTTGCTGCACACTACAATACCAAATTTTGCTGATCCCAAGCTATGACGGCATATATTACAACTTCCTCGTCACGATCCACTCACAATGCAAGACATCATGCATACTCCATATCGAATTTCCCCTAGCAGCACAGGAACCATTTCCCATCATTCGTCCTACCCAATGCATACTCGACTTGCCGAGTTGGAAATGATCAACACAGCGTACGGCATTGTACATGATACATCCAATAACTGCAATGCACCGTACCCCTTGTCACCACAACAACCAAACCAACATCCCCTACAACCACTCTCTATAAAGACCGCCATCACGCCATAATCCTCAATCCTGAGCATCATCTCAAATATCCCCGTCATCGCAATACTACAATACAACCCCACAAACCTCCATTCCAACCAACCAAAATGGTCCACCTAAAATCCCTCCTCACCCTCACCCTCGCCCTGGCAACCAGCATCAGCGCGATGAACACCGACTCCACCTGCGACGACGCTTACAACAAATGCGTCACGGCCCCCGGTGCGAACCTCTCCACATGTTTCTCTGACAGGGAGGCCTGTCGCCATGGCCAGACCAATTCTCCTGCAAAGTTGCACTCGCCACATCCAGAGCGCTCGGTCTCCAATGAGGATGATTGTCAAGATGCCTTCAACAAGTGCCGTTCTGCTCCTGGTGCCAATATCTCTACCTGCGTCTCCGAAAAGAGTGCCTGCGATAATGGGGAGAACAAGTAGAGTGGTCTCAGTTGTTGTGGCGCTTTTTCTTGTTGTCTTGGGATTTGTCTGCTTGATGTACTTTCATGATGTCTCTTGGAAACCCTATATTGTATATGAGAAATGTACCAAGTGTTATGATGTGGCAAATGGCCAAATCTAGCTCTGTGAGTATAGATATGAGATATGGACACCCTATCCGAGTGATGGCACATGCGTACACACAGCAGTCAATGCATGCTGCAGCTCGCCCAGCTTCCGTAGTAGATGGGTATTCGACTGTCCACATAGATCCTTCTCACCACGTATACTCTCAGCGGCCTGAACTCGACAGTCGAGTACCTGGCACACCTGAGATAAAGTCTGCATCTCGCAAAGCAGTAGTTGGGCTTTCATCTTTGTTCCCGTAGCGCGAGAGAGATTGAAAGTACCGACAGTCAAGGGAATGGTCAATGGAACAGTATATATCGATTCTTCCATACTTTCAGACGGCTGCGAAAGACCCGTAGAGTGTGTAACGCTGGAATAGCTGCCATCCGAACCCATATAATCGCGACCACTCGGCGACGGAGTGGCTGACAGGCCCAGCCCACCAATTTCAGATTGGTAAAGTGCTTCATACCAGATCAGGATTCGCAAAAGAATCGACCCGATAACCAGGATGATAGAAGGATCCCCTGCGCAGGATCTTGCGGTGCAATTTAATAATCGAGAAACCGTCTCCGTGGCGGATCGAGTCATGCAAAATACAATATCGTTTGCCGGGGATTCCTCCGGGGTTCGTGGTTTCAGTATATTGCGAGATTGATTATAGTAAATTGAATATCCGTTCGCACAATCTAATTGAACGAATCGGTACAGTGAGGAGAGCGTCCGACATGCTACCGCAATGCAAGACTCGTGTTGACCATCTTCCAGGTCGCGTCGCACTTTGTCTCTTTCCTGGCCACCGCCGTTCTCGTCATCCATCCCTCTCATTTCTGGAAGGGAACCGAGGCTGTCGCCATCGATCACCACGGGATCTGACCCGACCATGCTCGGCCATCCGAATTCTGGCGTTGACAAGTGCGAAATTCCTGCATCTGGAGTTAAGCTAGGCGTCAAGCTTGGAGGCAAGGTATTTCGCCTTCTTTCCCATTCTGTAGGGTTTGAAGCGCGGTACCAACTACAACTGTGATTATAGTTTGGTTGATGGTGATTCGGACTGGGGGTCCAGGATGGTTGCGCGGGAGCTGGAGGAGCTGGAGGAGCCTGAGGATAAACAGATGCATGGATGGAAGCAGTCTTGTTGGAAGGTGGTTTACCCTTCCGTCGCGATCGTCCATACACGCATTTGAGACCGTTTTGGACACATCGGGAACAGCTGTGCGGTTCCTTTGTGCATCGTACTTTTGATGCTGCGCAGGCGTCGCATGAACTTCGAAATGGAAGGCGCTGAGGTTTGCTGGGTTTGTTCTGATTTTGGTGGTGTGTATGCATCTGCGTCTCTTGGGAGGTAGTGAACATTATCAGGGTGGAGATCGCAGAATGCGATCTCTCCTGGCCTTTTTTTTTTTTTTTTTTTTTTGGGGACCTTTCAAAAAGTTGCAGACCTCGGGAGTCACCCTTATCATGAATTAGCCACAACTCACGTTGATTAGATTCATTGAAGTCTAGGCGATACAAAGGTGCCCAGGTGGCGAATAATATACAAGTATATTAATTACCAATCAACAAGGATGTTAGTGCTTATTAGTTGAGTCACAGTGTTTTTTGGCCCCATTTCCTTTCTCATATTTGATCTTAATCATTAATCTCTATGTTGTAGGTACTTGTTGCTTAACTTTTAAGAGTATACGCGGAAAGAGGTTATAGTACATCGGACCCGTGAATGAAGGAATTAGATATAAAGAACACATTCTTAAGGGCCTTTGAACCTCATAGGATGAACATAACTAAAGTTGAACAACTTTTATATTTCAGCATCTTCGGGGCCTTGAACTCTGTCTTCGAGATAACCCCGATAGATGGAAATGAGTCAGAACATGTTAAGATTCTGGAAACATGGCGTATGAACTATCCGAGCCAGTGACATATTACCAATCCTCCTACTATGTAAACCTATACCATATGATAATAATATAGTGGGTACGGAGTAGATTGGTGAAAATCCCCCCGTCTTCGGAACCCGAAGCCATGTGGGTCTGATATCAATGTATTTTGTAGGTAAATCCCCGAATCTCAAATTCCCTATATAAAAGACTTGCAATAGACTCCTATTCTCAGCATATCAGTTACAGTTTCTCTTATTCTCTCAGTCACTAAGCAAAGACAAAAAGATTCAAAAATGGCACGAAGACCAGCCCGCTGTTACCGTTACTGCAAGAACAAGGTAAGTATATTTATACTTCCTCACCTTCACACAAATACAAATATAAAACTAACAATACCCCAAGCCGTATCCCAAATCCCGCTTCAACCGCGGCGTCCCAGACGCCAAGATCCGCATATTCGACCTGGGCCGAAAAAAGGCCTCAGTGGACGATTTCCCCTGCACCGTCCACCTAGTCTCCAACGAATATGAACAACTGAGTTCCGAAGCACTGGAAGCCGCACGTATCTGTGCCAACAAGTACATCTATTCCCCCTCCCTTGTCCCTATTCTTATTCCAGATCATAGTATAAGCTGACGCTAATCTTCTTCCAAAAAGACACCTCGTGAAAACCGCTGGCAAAGAATCCTTCCACATGCGCATCAGAGTTCATCCCTACCATGTAATCCGAATCAACAAGATGCTCAGCGTGGCCGGCGCAGATCGACTGCAAACCGGCATGCGCGGGGCATTCGGGAAACCCGCTGGGAAAGTTGCTCGAGTGAATGTTGGACAGATTTTGATTTCTGTACGGACTGTTGATCGGCATCGCGGGACGGCTATTGAGGCGTTGAGGAGATCTATGTATAAGTTTCCTGGGAGGCAGAAGGTTGTTGTGAGTAAGATGTGGGGATTTACACATTTGTTGCGGGAGGAGTATTTGAGGTTGAAGGAGAATGGGCTGGTCAGGAGTGATGGGGCTTATGTGCAGTTTTGTCGGAGGAAGGGGGAGGTTGGGGCGAATATGAGGGACTTTCCTGGGGCTTATAGTCAGGTTGGGATTGAGGCTTAGCTTTATTCATGTTATGAGTAATGCTACTCCTAATTCGATCTTAGGTTGATTTTTAGGTTACTGTATTCTTGTTTGCATTGCACCTAAATATGCTTTCTAATGGGGACCAGAGGACCGTTCTGCCTCCTTATCCTTGCGATATGAGCAGCGACGTTCCCAAAGTCGCGATTTTCTCTTTCACGAGGGCCATAACAGAAAGCTACGAGGGCAATGGTCGTAAACTAATTGCCATGGCATTATATATCATCGCATCGATCACAGAAAGGAAAAAAGTCTATTGAAGATCTCAAGCATAAAAGGAACGGAGTCCTGTGGTATCGAGCAAAAGACCACCCAAAATGGAACCATCTAAGAAAACGAACTGTCCAGAGCGAACCAGAAAATAGAAAATGGAGATTGAATCCCATACAATGGTTGGGGAATACAAAGGATAAAAGATGATATTGTTTACAACAAAAGAACCCTCAAAAATAAAAATAATCATAAAAATGATTTAGGAGAAAAGAATAATAATCTAAGCAGACTGTTCGAAGAGCGCGATGGTAGAGCAGAAGTTACTCTTGTTCGGCTTCTGGGGGACCAGAGACTTGCCACTGGATGAGGTAACCATGTTGACAGAAGCCTTGGTGCTAAGACCATACAGCTTGACATCCGAACAGTCAACCTCGACCATGTTCTCCTGACAGTCCTCAGAGTTGAGACAGGACTGGGCGTAGTTCTCGAAGAAGCTGTAGAGACCGGCGCCGTAGACGAAGACGTCCGAGGAGCCGAGGACACGCAGACCCCAGGCCTTGCGGCAGGAGTTTGTCGTGCAGTTCGAGAAGTCGGGGTCATTCCAAGAGTTTTGCGGGGTGTAAGGGGTCAACGAGGTCGGGTTGGATTGGTAGTATGGAGTCTCAGATTGGATGAGGCCCATGAAGACGTTCTTAGCGCTTGAGACTTGGTAGTTGTACAGCTGGTGGTGCTCCGAGGAGGTACCCCACAGCCAGACGGGGTTCTGCGACTCGATAAGCACACCACGGCCGGTGTAGACGTTGATCTGGTTGTGATCCTTGAGGTCGAGCTCGTGATCGGCGGTCCAGAACCAGGTGTTCTCGAGGTAGGCGCTACCCTTCTGGGTGATGTGCAGAAGCATAAAGGCGGCCATGCACTCCTTCTTGGGGGTGGTCTTCTCCTTGGGGGTCTTGGGGCAGGTGTCGCTCTGCAGCTCGGTGCCAGCGGCACCACCGATGCGGAAGTGAACATCCCACATACCGGCGGAACCTTGAGAAGAGCCAGCAACGTTCCACTCCATGAGGATGGCACCAGGGGCGGCACCCTTGGTGGTGATGATGAGGTCACTCATCTCGACAGAGCCAGTGTCACCCTTTTGGGCCGACCTGGAAGACAGGAACGGGGTTCTCTTGGTCGGCGAACTTCTTGCCGTGTGCCATAAGCATAGGCCAGATCTCACCAGTGATCTTGATATCCTTAGGAACCTTGATGGTGGAGGTGATGACATAGGCACCGTGATCAAAGTAGATGACCTGACCATCCTTGTAGCTGTCAAAGATCTTCTGGATAGCCTCAGTATCGTCAGTGGTTCCGTCACCCTTGGCACCAGCAGACTTGACGCTGACGAAAGAGGAGGCTGCGACATCCTCGTACAGAGGCTTGGACCTTTCAAAGATAGCACCGCCCTTGAGCAGGCTAGCGGGCTTAGAAGCAGTCTTCAAAGTGCTCTGGGTGCGGGCAGAGGAAACGGGAGCCGTGGCACCGCAAGTGGCGGTGCTGCTATCACTGCCAGACTGGGGGGGCCTGGCTCACTTGGGAGCCGCTGCTAGTGGTCTTAGCAGGCGCAGCAGGAGATGTGACAGGAACAGAGGGTTGTTTGGCAGAGGCGATGCTGGAAGGCGAAGAACCAACAGACACCGCGGAAGTGACAGGGGCCTCGGTGGAAGGAGCAGCTGCGGGAGTGGGCTCCGAGACTTGAGAAGCCTCAGAAGAGCCTCCGCCGAGAATAGAGAGAACACTGTTCAGCGCAGGAATTGAACCAGTGTTACCAGTGCGGTCAGTATCGCCGCTGCTACTAGCAACCGGGGCAGGCGAAGGAGCGGGGGCGGATCCAATGGACGCAGTCTTCGCGGGGGCAGGAACGTCGCTTCCCACATGGCTAGCGCTGGGAAGGCCGTAGGAAGCGGGACAGGCAAGGATAGTCTCCGTAACAGTCTCGACAACGGTGACCAGCTCAGGCTCAGCCTCGGTGGCGCGCTTGTTGATGGTCTTAGACGGGGTGTAGGTATTACCCTGGACCCAGGTGTCAACAACAGAGCCACCTGCCAGGATGGTGTTGCCATCAACGCCAGCGACAGCAACCTTGGAGCCAGAGAAGTCCACATTATCCAAAATGAGGTCACCACCGCCAACGGGGATACTCTTTTGGGTCCAAGCAGTGACGATACCAGTGGGGGTTGTTGGTGAGCTTGCTGTCCAGCATCAAGACCGACCCAACAGTCTGGTTGGAAGGCGAGGTAGACATGTTCAAACCAACCTCACAGTTGTTGATCTTGACGGACTTGAAAGTCCAGGCCCAGTTCCAGTTCATGAAGATGGCAGTCTGGCAGTCGTTGAATACCAAGTTACGGGTAGTGAACTGTTGGTTACCAAGGAACATGCCGTAGTTACCGCCGTTGAAAGTCAAGTCGGACATGAAACCACCAGATCCGTTATCCATGAAAATACCCTGCTGCTTGTTGGCGTCACCACCACCCTTGACCATCTCGAAGCGAATGTTCTGCAAGCTGGTAGCCTGGCCGACCTGCCAGTGGATACCGGCACCAGAGCTAGCGGGAACGCTGGTCAGATCAATGACCAAGTTGCGAATGGCGCGGAAGAAGTTGTTCTGGTTGGTGAACCAATTGTCACCGTTGTCCTCATAGGGATCGGAGTCAATCACAGCCATACCCGCGAACTTGGCGGAGGCCTTGATGATGGGCAGTTCGACAGCATCACCGACGATCTGGGTGTAGTAGTACTGGACGATGGGCTTCGAGACAACATAGGTACCAGGTGGGAAGTAGACGATAGCAGGTGTGGTAGTAGAGGAATCACAGCCCTTGCCACATCGACCTCCAGAAGAAATAGCCTTGTTGATAGCGACAGTGTCGTCAGTGGAGCCATCACCTATGATATAGTTAGCATGTTGTCCGAGGGTACAGAGCTTCGATCAATGACTGACCCTTAGCACCGTAGTCCTTCACATTTCGGAAGATCTTGTAGTCGGTGCTCTTTGCGAAGGGGACGACACCCTGGCGCTCAATATCGGCGACCCAATAGCTTGAGGCGGCGGTTGTCTTTTGAGTAGTCGCCAACACGTTGGGAACAGGGGAGACCGGAACTGCGACAGGCACAGCTGCGACCAAAGAGGCTGGTAAACCGAGCAATAGGAAGATATGGGCGATAAAGATCGCGATGGATGTTTGTAAAACAGCCATATTGGAAATGGATAACGCTGAACCAGCAGCGAAGTAGATAAAAAAAAGGATGTCTAGGGAATGAGGATAGTTCAGCAACCAGCACTGCAGCAGTCAAAATAAGAATCGAGTCCAACGCTTGACCAGCAGCGATATGCAGGAAGAAAGAGAAGATTTAAAGAGTCAATCTCCAGCACAGTTCCTTCCCAAAAGAGATGAGAACAATGAAATGTTCCAAGAAATGAATGAATAGGATGAATCGAAGAGAATGAAGGGAATGAATAGAAAAGAAAGAGAAACAGAGACAAAATAGACACAATGATACGGGATGGTAATCATACCTATAAGAATAAACCGAAGCGTTTGCAAACTTCCCCTTTTAACCAATTACACGCTCCAGAGCCCTGAAGTCCACCACACCCCACCAATCACAATCCCCGACTTGACGACGGCGTTGGAAGCTTGAAACGTGATAGTCTGCAGTTGAAACAAAGATCGTGTTGCAGGGTGAATCGGCTAACTAGCGCCCGTAGGTGTTTCGAATGGCAATTTAAGGGTCGCCTTGAAAGGTACACTTTCCAATCTATTGGATCGGAAACCTACCTTCAAAATGAAATACACAGAAGGTAGAGAGTACTCAGGGTCTACGCGCTATATAACTAGATCCATAACTCAAACAGGGTCTGTCGGGTCATCCATTCCAGTCATTTGAGATGCAGGTTAATGCTCACAGGGGGACTAGGACGAGCATTGCAAGTTCTCGCGTATCACTTGGCCCTTGACCCGGGTGGACCCCCCTGTATAATATGCCGTATGGCAATAATACAATAGTGTCGATGATAGTCGATTCCCCAGGTATTGTTGTTGAAGAAGATCAAGGGCTAATTTTGTTTTTTTGTTTTTGTTTTTGGATTTGTTTTTTTCTCTTTTCGTTTGCTTCAAATTGCATATCTGTGTCTACTACCGTGTCTGTGTAATGTACACATGTAACACAAGCCATACTCGACGCCTCGAGTGAAATGGCGGATATCCCCCCGCGTGTTGTCAGGGGGCGTTCCCAGTTATGGATGAACATTCCGGGGCGCTGTTTGAAGGATTCCTGATGACGGAGAACAAAAAAAAAGCAAAGGCACAACATGACCAGGCCACGACATCTGGAATTCCTTAAGGTCAACTTAAGGGTTTGACTTTTGTGATTGTAAAGGTGAGAGGGGGGCGAAAGGTGTTAAGGCCAAGCTTTACTCCCCCCCCCCCCCCTCCCCGAACCAGGATCCCGACCCGCTCGGGATTGCCTTGCCCTTTTGATTTAAAGTGTCTCGTTATATTTACCCCCCTGTTTCTGGCAGAATTGACATCTCCGAAGATTTTGGCGGTGTCAGCCTTTGACTAATCATTCCAAAAATAGGTAACCACCAGCCTTGGAGGGCTTGGACCCGGGAGACTAATATTTGCATAGTGCAATGCCCAATGCAGAGCCTCATGTACAATATATACTAGAACCCAACTCGAAAGACTTGTATGAGCTGGCAAGGCTACGTTGTAAATTATCTACATAGTTAAGAAATTTATCCGCCACGCGTCCTAGTGGACACGGTACGGACCGTGCTTTGGACCAGCTGGCGTGGCTCTGAAGTGGCGTGGATACAAGTCCAACGCCACTATACCTAAACCCCGGTACCTAGGTAGTCATACGCTTGAGAACACGCGCTAGCCTACGCACCCCCTCGGTCAAATGTCGTGGTTCTTCCCACGCAAAGCAGAGACGCAGATGATCCGCAAACCCCTCATCAATCACCTGGTCTCCGGGGATCTGGAACACATGACCAGGAGATACACGCAATTTTTCTTCGCTCTGCGCTAGTTCGACTACATCCGCGGCGACCAACGGCGCGGGTAGACCAATCCACATAAAGTAGCCTCCGGCTACGGCGGCCGGTGGTGGGATTGTAACGCCCAATGGCACAAGATGCTCCTGGATTGCTGATAACAAGGTGTGGTAGCGCTCGGCGTATTTCGGTTGAAGGACGTCGCGGATGTGGTTCTGTATGATGTCTGTGGGGAACATCTGGTCAATGATAGCGGCGCATAGGTGGGAGGGAGCGCCGCCCGATCGGGAAGAGCCTCTGCAAGCGATATCGGGTCAGTTTGCGAATCCAAATCCGAGAGAAAGGGTGGTCAGTCAAGTATTCCCAAGCGGTGCCCCGTACGTTTGTGATAATCCATAGGCAACTTTTTCCGACGCTTCGGCCCAACCGGTGCGGGCCCCGGGCCCGATCAACTTGCTGAAACTGCCGTTGCTTAGTGCGTGTCCCCATTCATCCTGTGGCCCACCGTCCAAGTAACGGTCCACGTCGATAATGCGCGGAACAAACGCGCGGTTACCAAGATTCTCCTCTACCCCCGGCTTGGCTGACCACAGAAGGAAATCGTACACATCATCCGTAACGATCAGCGCATCGTATTGACGGGCAAGACGAACGAGCGCCTCGCGTCTACGCAACGACATAATCTTCCCTGATGGGTTCGCGAAAGTTGGCACGGCGTAGATAACATGCTTGTAGATTTTGCGCCAGGGCCTGGGCGGTTTCAGTTTCTGTAGGGAAAGAGGGGCAGGGTCAGTCCGGGACTCAATAAACGATGGGACAGTGGCATGGCACGGTGACAACGATCATGTCAACTATCACTCATGGGCCCAGGTTTGTCCTACCGGCTCAGTATTCCCATCGCGAAGGGCAACCTCTTCCGCAGCCCGTAAACCGCTCTCTAGCACGGCTATGTCGACCCCCTCGTCATCTTCGGGGACCCCACGTAAGCGCCCAGCGAAGCCGGCGTCCTCCATCATGCGCGCGGCCAAGAAATACGTCGGTGCGACCATCCATACATTCCGCGTGTAAACCGGGTCTGTGAAGGTTTGCAATACACATGCTAGGTTCTGGCTGGCCCCGCCGGTGATGCAGATGCGCTGCAATGAGACGGGCTCGCGCGGCTGATAAAAATCACTCAGCCATGCGGCTATGTGTGCGCGAAGCGGCTCGTATCCTTCATCGGGGCCGTAGAGGAGGGCTGGGTTTGCGATCGAGCGATTGGATAGTACGGTCGTGGCGGAGTGGCTGAGGATGGAGGCGGGGAGGAGCGCGGGGTTGGGCCAGCCGGTTAGGAGGTCGATGGGCTGATCGGGGGAGACGGTGAGTGTCATGATAGGATAAGTAATCCGATGTAGATCGTGAATATCATATGTATGCTTATGTATAGGTTAAAATGAATAATTGAATGCTTTGGGTAAGCGCTTGGGCTTCCGCGGTTAAGGATGTGGCGAGGTGGGCACTGATGCATCCGAGATCGGGAATTGAACGGTTCTAGGGGGTTTAAACAGGTACAGGAATACCAGAATTGGCTGAGCTGGTTTATATTGTGAGATTCATATATATAGATATTGAAATTTGGTCCAAGTAAATTTAAATACATTTATCTCAATTTTACTTGCACAAAGTACCTTGGTGTCATTTTGAAAGAAAAGAGAGAGAGATTATATATAGAGAGAGAGAGTACGGAGTATCTAGGCACTAGGCACGTCATAAACAGGTGCCTTGGCAATACCGGGCTAGTATGAACTTGTATACCCCAATTTGGACACCAGTTGGTAGGATACGTCGGATCGCAGCGGCGTGATCGTGTTTTATATATGGGCTTTTATTGGGTGATGCTAGGTATGTTGGAGTAAGGTATGTTAGTACTGCTAAGGTTCATTTTAATGGTTTAATGTGTCAACATATACCTTGGGATGTAACATTAAACAATTACGAATATATATATATATATATATATATATATTCTTCCACTTTTCCTCACACTATACAAAGGAATTGTTAATATGATTGCCTACTCCGTATATTGATATACTATATCTCTCTCCTGTATTTAATTGGGGTCCACATCCAAGACATGCACAGCCAGGGAACCACTCATCTCATAGTTCTATTATTGGCAATAAACCGGGTCGAATGTGCTCCGTCTTTTTTTCCCCCTCTGTATTAAATGAATATTGCATGTATTCTATTGTAAACTATTATTAAAGAGTAAAGTAATATAAAATATTCCAAGTAAAATATAAAAATAAGGCTCCGATATTAACCTTTTTTTTAATTATTTTATTTATCAAATTATTTCTCCTGACCTTTTTCCCCTTGTATTTCTCTTTCCCTTTTTTTTTTGTTTGGATCTCAGCTCAGCCTCATCCATTCTCTGTGGAAGTTGAAAAGGGTATCAGGTTTCCTGTCATTCTTTCAATCCCTCCTGCCGATCCATTCCATAACCCCCTAAACCTCCGCCTCCTCCGATCAGCTGCCAAGTACACACTTCATTCCTCTAGGGCTCCCATGCGGGCTTAACCTTCTCTACAGGTCGCTTTCCTCCAACTTATCCTCCCAACATCACTATCACATCAAGATGTTGTCGGCTCCCGTTAAGTCGGCGAAGCGGATCTCGTCTCTGTTCTCGCTGGGATCCAAAGATCGGGACTCCCACTCGTCCACGTCTTCGCCAGTGTTGAATTCCCCAGAAAACCCCATCGACAAACAACGCCAAAGCAGTTCAAAGCCCACTCGCCATGTCTCGACCCCCAATGCCGTCTTCTCTTCCGAGCCTAGAACAATCCCCGATAACCTCGACATGGAGAGCCTACCCCCGCCACCTTCACTGCTGGCTGTGAACCAAGATCTGGCCAACAGCGCCCCGAGTTCGCCTGTTGGCCGCCCGCAGAGCAGGGGTCGCGACATGAGCAGGCCATCCAGCTCCGCCGGGTTGGCTATCCCTGGATCGACCCCGGATTCCCGCCCTAGCACGCCGTCATCGAAGCGTAGAAGTTGGATGCCCGGTCGTTCGCGCGCTAGCTCAATCGATAAGCGACAAACTCCCATGCTTCCGGCTGCTTGGATCGCAGGACTGGACCAGAAGGTTGTTTATGATCTGGGTTCACTATCCAGAGGAGAACAGGTATGCATACACCAACACGGTCCGTCTTGAGGTGTTCGAAGCTAATCTTTTTTTTTTGTTACTTCCCAGATCCAGGAACTATGGAACGAGCAAGGTGATACTTATGTCTATATGTTCCCCCAGAATGCCGGCCGCGCCCCATCTTTCAAGGTCGATTCCACCATATTTGCCGAATCCCCCTCTCTTACCTACCTAGCCCGCGGCAACGATGGCAAGACTGGCCTCGAGCAGGCAACCCGCACATTATCACTGAACCCCGTCTCTCCGCCCATGTCACCAGTGGACGGCCAGCTCGAAAATGAGAACGATGACGACAGTGCAGGAAGCCAAAGAATGGCATTCGAAGACACACCCGAGGAAGCGCCGGAACTCCATCTTTATCTCCCCATTCCGCTGAACTGCGATGTGTCCAACCCGCAAGCCAGGCTCTCTCCAGAGGACACAGAGACTCTTCTTTTGTTCCGCAACCTTTTCGCATTCCTGCTCGGCCAGTCTTTGATTGCTTCACCCAAGTCATCCACGCTTTTCTCTATTTTCATGGACGTGGCGGTCCTTTTAGCCCGGTTTGAGTTCTCCAACCTGGATGCGTCCAACTTCGGTGAGACCGCCACTTCCAGTTTCAGCAACTACTGTGAAGAATTGCGCCTTGCAGATGTCCGTCGAAGCAGAGAGAAGACAATCGAGGCCATCGTCTTGGGTGAGCGCCTGCGCTACTATCCGCTTTATGTCGAGGGCTTTGTCCATGGCGTTGGAAAGCTGGATGAGCTCAAGCAACTGCGGAGTCCTAAATATACCTTTATCCACCCTATTACGCAGAAACGCATGGAGCGCGCGTTCATTGATCTCGACACCCGTATTCGCGGTCTCTATGGCAAACTCGAGGATTTCGACTTCCCTTCTGTTTTCTCGGGCGTCGCCAACTCGACTACCTCGGAGGAAAGTAAGGTGGTGCGCTTCAAGAACTGGAAGACCGGATTCCACGAATTCCGCCGCTTTACGATCCAGTACTACCGGCAGAAGTACGGCTCGTGGCCGCCTAAGGCTCGATCGAAGAAGAACGAGTTCGAGGAGAACGGCCTTAACCGTCTTCTCCTTTTGGATTTGTACCACGATTTCACCGATCTCTACGATTTGATGGTTGACCGCACGTCCCTGACGACGCGCACAATTGATATTTCGGGCGCGGGCAGTGACCCAGTAGACTCCACTGATCCAAAGCAAATGACCGTTCGCGCCTTACGACAGGTTCTCTCCGAGTATGACCGCAGCACACCGCCGGTGCTTCCCCCCATTCCATTTGACATTCCACAGCTGCCTTCGCTGCAGCCCTTGCATCGGAAACCGCTCGACGCCAAGAAGGAGGCCAAGCAGAGCACGAAGAAGCTGAAGAACTCTGATATTAATGCTGTCCTGATGGGATCTTATACCCGGGAAGCCATGCGACCCACTCCTTTCATTGAGAGCTTTATGCAATTCGAGCGTCGCTCCGCGCACGGCAAGAATGTTAATGACATTACCGATCTTCGCTGTGGCCAGTGGATCTTCCTATATGCTGTCATTCAAGCCCTCCCCATGCTGGTAGTTGATGTCCCTGATGTCCACTTCAATGAGGGCGTGGAGTATTTCCTCTGCATTGCCCCACGCGGCGGTGCTCCCTGGATTCATAACGACACTAAGACTGCTCGCAGCTGGTTCGGAGTTGCGGGTGGTGCTGGTGTGGTTAGCCTGCCATCCGATGTAGTCATTAATGGAGTGGAAGGTGTATACCGCCGCAGTCATTGCTGGCAAGTGGCCGAGCAGTGGGCCGAGGCGGGCGCTCTTCTCGATCCACCGATGGTGGAAGACGCCACCTACGATGATGAAGAGTCTTCTATATCATCACCTTACCAGGGCCAGCAATCGTCGGCTGGATCTTCTTCGGAACCTTACCCGAACTCGATGATGGTCCCCGGTGGGCTCACCCCGCCCCCTCCAGCCATTCCACGAACCCGGTCGCCTGCCGCTGCTCAGCGATCTGAGCATCGCCACTCATTCTACCCTGGATTGGAAGCCTTGCCTCTTCCCGCTGGCATTGCTCCCATCGAGCCTCCCACACGTCCGATCAGTCGATTCAACCCGAACATGAGCTTCGACGATATCCTCAAGGAAGTCCCGAAGAAGGACAAAAAGAAGCACTAAATCCTATTGTCTTGTGTCTTTTCTCTATGATTAGATTCTATGACGCTATGATAAGGCCTGCACATTCACAATACGAACTTGTTTTGTGACTCTGGTTTCCATACTCATTGACTGTTTCATTTTTTTTTCTTTTGATAGGCGCATTTTGTGACCCGAACTACTGGGCTGGATCGGCGTGATGCACAGGGAGGCGAAAGCAAAAAGCGACAACTTTTTAATTCATCGGGGGCAGCATGCATGGAGAACCACATCATAATTATCGGCATATGGGCATCAGCATCTCCGGAGGAGGGGCTTTTTCTTTTTCTATTCACCTTGTCATTTTAATTTTTCTTTCTGCTTTCTTCTCTCTTCGCCTCGGATTCCCCCTGTTTCTTGTAGCTTGCGACGCTGGAAGCTGCCAATAGAAATATAGATTCTAATGTCTACAATTCTGTGCATGAGGGTTTATCTACTGATTATTTTGTATTTGTAGTTCCTGTACCTACCTAGGTAAGCTCCTGTGCCATTGAGTTGTTCCGGATCCATGGTTCCGGCTTGAGTTACCGGGTTCTTAGTTTCTTTGTTTACACCAACTACATACAATATAGTATGGGTATTGGACTATCCATATCCTGCCCAGGTGAATTTACCTGTGCTTTATTTGCATAAAAGTTCTTCGTTTCTCCTAACCAAATGATGCAATCCGTCAAATGGTGAAACCATGCATATGCCGAGGCCAAACCCACTAAAGCAGGCAATACGAGGCTCAGCCACACAGCCTATTTCCCTTTGAACATCGTCGGTTACAGAATACCCACAGGATTGGGGGCTAAGGAAAGAAAGGACCTTCACGCCCGCAGATCTCTTCCAGACTGGGGAAAGGGCCAATTGCTGTCGTTTAAGCTTGATTATTCAAGTCTAGCTTTGTCCAATTCCTCCTAACCCCATCCCAAAGTACTTCACCTTATCGGGAAGGAAAAAAAAACACACCCAAAGAGCCTCAATAACTCAACGAAAACACCGACAATGAATTAACGACATCCT